TAAACGTTAAACGTCAATCATTAGTCACAATGAGGAAGGAAGCATTTCAATTGATATTTACTGTTTGATTTATCCTTAGATATGGATTCCAGTGCTTTCCATGAATCAGGAATAGCACTGCACATGAAAAGGCATAGTTCCAACAGCAAGGAGCTCACAGTCCAGAGAGGAGACAGTTGAGAAAACAGAGAACCACAGGCAGGGAGCAGGAAGAGAGATCCATCAGAGGGATTCTGGAAATCCTTAGGAGGAATGTCAAACTCAGGCTGGGATAGGTGTAATTGGGAAAAGGTGAGTAGGATTTAGCTAAGCAAAAAACAAGTAGCACACTGTAGAGAGAGGATAAGCATTGCACTTGAAACATGGAAGGGAAAAGAATGGGAATGGACAGGCACTTCCTGATCAGGCTGAGCACTGCTATGGCACTGAGGAATACAGCAGTATTGTCCAGTAGCACTTTCTACACTGAGGTATGTCCATATTCTCCTCTCTCCAATGGGGTAGCCATTAGCTTCCTGTGATCAAGCTCTTGAAATGTAGCAAGTGTGAATGAAGAATGGAATTTCATACTTTATTCTATTTTAGTACATTTAAAAATGCATTTAAGCAGCCACCTCCAGTTCGTGGTTATCCTGACAAACAAAGCAACTATAGATTATAAGCTGCTGGAATGTGAGATAGGACCCAAGGCTCAACTGTGGAACAGTTTCATAAGCCATGCTAAGTGGTTTGGATTTGAGCCTGGAGGTAAAGAGGAGTAAGTGGTGAAGAATGCTGAGTCAGGTGCGATGTGATCAGATTCTTTGGGCAGCTGTGTTTAGGATACTGGAGCGGCTGAGGCTCGAGGCAAAGACAACAGATATGCTTTAGAGCAACATAAATGATGAAGGACTAGGACTCCGAGGAAGACAGAGGCAAGGGGTATGAGGAGGAGAGAGGCTGTTTGACATGAGATTAAGGGACAATCTAAAGAGCGACCTTTTGTGTGGAGTAGACACGTAGGTGGAAGAAAGTGTAGTCACCAACATGCACAGTACAAGTTAGGAAGAAAGAAAAGGGCATCTTGGTTTTAACCATGTTGAGTTTGGGCTGACTGTGAAACAGCGAGGGGAAAAATAAATTCAAGGGCATTAGGTGAACACATTAGCAAATAAATAAACAAAATTAGCACCTAGGCACACTTTGTTTAGTCTTTGTATTCACTGGCAAAAAATTCATAGAAATCTGTTAACATCTCACAACCTCAAGATATTCAAGTTTAATTAAGTACATTCAATCCACCATTACATCTAATATAATCAGAAAATTAAAGTATTAAGTTTCATCTTAAACATCAATTGTCATTGTAGAATGTGTTCAAATGCATCTAAGTTATTTTAAATTTGGGGCTAGTTAAATTTTGAATCAACTGGAGATTAGTAATTTTTTAAATACTGAAATGTCTTTCTCAAGGAACATTCTAATAATTGATGAGGTTCTACATTAAATAGATTTAATTTTAGTGCAAAATGAATGTTCTTTTATTTACCACTGAGATATTTGCTTTCTTACAAGTTCTTCCCCTGCATAACAGAAAACACCTTTTTTTGTTTCAAAAACCATTCTAGAAACTAACTTAAATCCATTCCAAATTTCTATAGAGAATGATGGTGGCTTATTACAAAGTATGCAAAAAAAATAAACTAGGAAAGAATCATTGGAGTTCTACACCATAACTGTTTCAGAATTTTAAGCCTATATCTGACATCTAAACAAAAATCATTTACGGGAATTGTAGTTTACTAAATACATTTAATTTTAATCACAATAAAGTGATCATTGGTTCAAAATGCTTCTTTGGAATCTAAACATTATTTTTCAAATGACATACATACATCTTCATAGTTTTCATACCAAAATCTAGTCCTTTTATATGCTTTCTTTAATAATACCATGTATGTTTCAATAACAATGCCATGTATCCAAAATGTTGGCCTGAGTAGGCCCTTTGGCACTGAAAATCTACTTTTATCATAGAAACAATGCTGGAAATGTTGGAGAGGCCTCCAACTGATGTCTTGGGACTTTACAGATGGAGTTAACAGCACTGCAGAAGCAGTGCCCTTAGGACTTGAGTCATTGGGGCCCCTGGGACCTGGTGGGCAGAAGCAGTGACAAACTCGGGAAGGCCTGAAGAGGAGGAAGAAAAATAAGCTGAACAGTGCCAAGAAAAAAGACAAGATCTGAGACTGTGGGAAAGGTTAAAAAAACCTTAAAATGGTGAGAAAAGAGGAGGAGCTATTCTGTTTTCAATTTCAGTTTCACTTTACCCTCTGGGGGTTAATGAGGGACAGAAAGCCAGAGAGAAGGTGGTGAGGGTGCCGAAGAACTCGCTCTCTCTCTCCCCCCCCCACCCCCGTTCTTCCCAGTCCAGAGCCAGCTCCTTACAGCTACTGTCAGATGCCAGCCCCCTGCATATTCCTTCAATCTATCTGGCTACATCACGAGAGATAAAAGACTATATACAATTTTTTTTAAACTTTTTAAAAAAAAACTACCTAGTGAATTGTTTTATGTAGATAATTATAATACTGGCCACTGTCTTTCAGAACAACTTCATGCTGTGACCACACAGCTGTAATGAAGAGATCACACTGGGAAGTGAAAAGTCTCCCTATCCTCTGGGATTATATGCAGATTTCCCTTCTTCCAGAAAGGTTTCAGAGCTTCGGAGAAGAGAAGCAGCAGTCAGGAGCCGTGGAAGGAATTGTCTGCCTCTCCCATTCTGCTAGCCTGGAGAAAAGGTACCTTTGCAGGAAACTGGGTTTGCAAACAATGAACATCTTTTATGTTTCTTGTTGGCAAAGCAATTGATTCTAGTTAGAGATTGGCTGGGTGCCACTGTGCACATGGTTTGTCTTTTCTGCTCTGAAGACTGCAGCAGGAAAAGCTGCAATTGAGGATTTTTTTTCTGCTTTATTATAGCTGACTTGACTACATTCCTTTCTTCCTGCCACTTCCTCTGCTAAAACTGTGTAATTCATAGATCACATTTTATAATCATAAAATATTATGTCAAAAATAAACTTTTAAAGGTATTTCTTAATCTAAAAGACAGTTTTTTATATTCCCTCCTCATAGTATGATTGATGTATATCTTTTCCCTTCAGAGAAAGAAGCCAAACCCAATCCTTGTGCTATCAGCACAATGGTAATTGGGGAGGTTATTGAAATCTTATAATGCTAAAGTAGGTCTAACAAAGATGCGTTACACCACAAGAATAACATCTGAGGAGCAGGAGGAAGGACAGAGCAACCATTAAGTTTCTATTGTTCCCTTTAATAGAAGTAAAAACTACTTAACATTAGGTTTTACTTAAATTTTAATTAATTTTATTAAGAAGGAAGTAGACATCGATTATCAATATTATATTTATTATCTCATTCCAGCTCCTCTGGAAACTTTTCCTATGGAAAGTGTTATTCAAATGATTTTATATTAAATACAACCTATTAATTGGCTTTGGTGTAATGAACACTTTGAAGGTGGCAGAAGTCGGGAAACCTGTTGAGGAGCCACGGAGGGGTGGAGATCCCGAAAGGACACAAACTGGGCTCCACAGGGCAAGGTGATGATGAGTAAACTCGCCCCCCAGAGGTCACATTTCCTCATGCTGAGCTGGGAACTGGACAAATTCTGAGCTATGTCCACCTTGGGCATGCACTTAACTGTCCTGGTTTGGGTTTGGAAGAGAAAGCCCACACATGCCCATGAAAGGAAATCCAAAATGTAAGCTGCGCCTTTGAACCAGGAGGCTGCCTTCCCTATTTCACATACTGGGGAAAACATAAGTCTTTCTCCTTTGTGATAACAAAATAGGTTCTGCAAAATAAACATCTAAGCTTATCTTCCAAAATGCAATTGCCAAAAACCAGTGCTGTAAATCCAAGCAAAAGGCCAAGTAGAAGAGGCTTCGGATGTTGCACAGATTAATTGCTATCAATGTCAAAGGGGAAAGAAAAGTCCTTCATTCTAGCAACTATCCAGATATCAATAGAGGACTCTATTAAAGGGCAATATTTTAGTGTATTTAATTAAAATGTTGTAAAATATTTTGAAAATATAGCGTTAATTAAAATAGCTTTTAACTATAAGATTATTGGGTCATATTGCATCTTAAACAATTTGACATTTGAAAAAACATATTTTCCACAGAAAATTTTATCTTAATTATCTAGGAATACACATTCCTGAAACATTCTTTATGGAAAAGCTAACCATTAAAAATTAAATATTTGAGCCAGGAATATAGCTCAGTGGTGCTGCTGTCTGCCTTGCAAGTACAAAGTCCTGAGTTCGATGTCCAGTACAAGAAAAACCCAAAAAACTAAATATGCAAGCCTAAAAAGGTTTTGTATTGGGATGGCAACAAATTCAATATTTGGAAATGAATTTAAAGCAAAAAGAGGAAATCATATTTTTGAGTTAAATTGCATATCTCAATAGAAAATAATAAACTGAAAAAATCAGTAACATTTTTTGAAAAATTAAATAGCAGGATTGGAACAACTCATTAGGACTGTTCATGAATACCTGATAGCTAACATTATGAACTTATTATTTCATTTATCTGCTAGCCATTTAACTTTTACAGTCAAGGTTGATTTGTTTTATTTCAAAGGAATATATGTGCATTAATAAAAAGAAATAAAATAAGAAAATATGACCCATTGTTTTGGCTGTTACTTAAGTATTATTAGAATTTTGGTCTATTTACTTTTGTTTTCCTTTATGTGTTTATACTCATACATCTTTATGATATATTCATCCTCGTACAATCAAGATTTTGGTTTTGGCTTTCTATTGCTTTTGTATCTTTTTTTCCTTTAACATTGAAATGCATTTAATAAAATATTTCTCTTGTTCTGATGATAAAGTTAATAGATATTCTTTGTTAAAGAAAATTTATGCATAATATAAAGTATATAATTATAAGAAGAGATTTATTAGATTAGCTTACATGACAGGATGCTAGATAGTCCCACAATGGCATCTTCAGATTGCAGAGCCTAGAAAGCCAGTAGCTGCTCAGCCCAAGAATCTGAAAACCTCAGAATAAGAAGGACCAGTGACGCAGCCCCAGTCCAAGGCTGAAGAATCTAGGGGTGATGGTAGCAGCAAAAGTTGTACCCATTCAAGAAGAGTGGAACATGTACCCTTCCTCCTTTTTCCATTCTGTGTTCCATCTGGGCCCCCAGCCTACTGGATGATGCTGCCCACATTCGAGACCCAGACACACTCATTATCTCTGGAACACACAGACACACCCAGAAGTGTGCTGAACCAGTTCTCTAGGTATCTCTCAATCCAACCTTATAGATGAACAAAATTAACCATCACACTATGGAAAAGCATATAACCAATTAAAATCACCATTAATTCAGTGATAATGAGGATAGCCACATTTTGATATATATCTTTTTCATCTACAGTTCACATCTATTCATTCATCCATTCAGATGCATTTTTGTAGCAGCTATTATGTCCCAGGTTTATCGTATTTGTGCCAAGAATACTCAGTGAATGAAACCAAAAGTTCCTGCCCCCATGGAACTTACATTTTAGGTGAGAGAAGCATTAAAATAAGCAAAAATTAAACCACATAGTTTGTCAGATGCTGAGAAGTACTATGGAGGAAAAGAAAGAAAGGAAAAAACATAGGGAAATTTATAATTTTAATTAGGGTAGTAAAAGAAGGACTCATTGAGGTGAAGCTATTTGAGCCAAGATAGGAAAAAAAGTAAAGAAGTGACAAGATTGACTGGCAGAAGACCGAATGGGAAGATCCCTAAGTAGGACATTAATCAGTAAATTCTAGGAATCACAAAGGCTGGAGCAGAGAACTGAGAGTATATACCGTGAAATCCAAAAGGGAAAGGGAGTAAAATTCCTTTTCTTTTCTCCCACTGAGATGGGAAGCCACTGGAGAATGCTGAGTAATGCTTATAGTACAATGTATTCTGGAATTTGTGTTAGGAAAAATCTATGGTGAGTGTATGGAGGATTCATAGAAAAGTGTTGCAGAGAGGATGGCCACTTGGATGAGAGAGTTCGTGGTGACAGTGACACAAGGCGTTGGTATGTCTCTAGAAGATATGGCTATGTAGGGTATGAGAGAAAGTGGAAAGTTAAAGATAAGCCCACATTTAGTACAGAAAGCTGTCCTTGCCTTTACTGATCTGAAGAGGACTCAGCAAAAAAGCAATTCACTGGGAGAAAGAAGGAATTAAGGTTTGACACATTAAGTTTACAGTAGTGTGTGAATCCACAGGTGAGGGGAGAGAGTGGTCTTGTCTGGAGCTAAACCCTTGGTAGTTGTCAAAATATTTGTGATATTTATTACCATGTGATAAGATGAGATCTTGGAAGGGGTAGGAGTGGAAGCTGGCATTGGGGCAGAGAAAGCAGAGTTTTGGAAAAATGACAGTCTTTCATAACACCCTAAAGAATGAAAAATCTGATGAACCTTGATATTTTAAATTGAGAGGACTTTTCAGAAAATGACTAATGTGTAAAATATAGCAGTGACCTCCAAATAAAGTATTCTGAACCTCTGGACATGCATAAAATAATACATTGAGGCATAAATCTTATAAGAATCTAAAGTTTTGTGCATTATTGTACTGTATTATACATTTTATGTGAATTGACAACAGTACAAAATGCTTGGGAACACTGTACTCCACTGGTAGACTCGGCAGACAACTAATGGAGACTTTTTGCTTATTTTATTTTACAGTGGACACTTGACTTACTAACTCATTTAGTTGCTGAGGGCTGGTTGTAACTCAAGTTGGTCAATGAAGGCTCAGGTGCCTCTATGCAGCCTTCAAAGTCTCTCTCCAGTACACAGGCAAATCTCCGTGTCCTTGGACATTGGCCCAGGATTTCTCAATGAACCCCACCCAGGAAAGGATGTTGTAATGCTCCTTTCAGAACTCTTTAAGGGTTAAATCTGTATCTGAGACCATCTGGAACCACAAGTGACCAGCATTCAGGTTGTAACTTAGGACTTTGTCAGTTAAAACTAAATTCCAGTTGTAACCCAAGTTATTCATAAGTCATGCCAGTCATAACTCAAGGGTCCACTGTATTCTCTTATTTCATTTTGAGAGGTACTGGGGACTGAGCCCAAAGCCTTCACACCAAGCTATATCCCTAGCCTTTTTTTTTTTCCAAACATGGTCTCACAAAGAATCAAAGTTATCTAACTTGAGCTAGAATGTGTAATCCTCCTGCCTCAGCCTTCCAGAGTGCTGGGATTAAGAAGTGTGGTGCCACACTGGGCTGGGACTTTTTGTCCTATAAATAACTGTCATGAATCATCTTGAAACCTGCAGCCCTCACCAGGTTTGGATGTGGCTACGTAGGCCACTAAATGAACAAGGGCTTGGTGCCAGCTGGGGTAGCTCTGTAAGGCCAGTACCACTCTCGTTTGTGTCTGGCGTGTTGAGCTGAAACTAGGGACTGTAGCACCCAGCTCCTCTTACAACTCCAGGCCACCTGTGCCCTGAGAGAGGAAAGGGAGTCACACAGGGCACAGCCACGGCAGCCAGGAGAATATCGGTGTACAGCACAGTCGAAGGGATTGAGGCTATTGCCCCTGTTTCCTTTGTTCTGTTTTCCTGCAATTACTTCATCTCAGAGCGTCCCTCTGGGGTTCCTGTATTTGTCCTCTGAGGAGGGGGCCTGTGCTGCACAGTCTGCAGACTTCTGTAAAGCCCTGCGTGTAGCACTGTGATCATTTCTCCTCGTTTATTTTCGCTGAAGCTCCGTACCTTTGATTAGACCTGGCACAGCACGTCCGGCACCATGATACACATCAAAGCAGTCAGCTTCCCTAGATCAAAATAGACGGAAGGTTTGGACTAGGCCCAGCGCTGTTCGAACACTACACTAAGAACAAACCTCAGCGGGAGGCGATTGCTTTTGGACAAGAGTCAGGAAATAACCAAATGGATTTCCTTTATTTCTTCCTTCATTAGCAGGACGGCAAATGCTTCCATCCTGTCGGCAGAGAAGTCTTTATGGGATTTTTTATCCAAAAACCAGTTTGCGATGTAAAACTCAAGGTGGAAAATGTAAACAACTCTCCTAAATTATTAAACTTCATAATAAAGATAAACACAGTTTATATTCGATGAGTGGAATAGGTACCTCGATTTTTTCTTCTATTTTTGTGTGCAATTGTTGATAGAGCCCAAATGTGTTTGAAGAATGTGGCTTTACTTTATCTCTACAAGGTGATATGAGAACAATTAAAAGGAACACCTAAGCATGTCAAAAATAGGATAAAGTGGAAAAGTTATACATGTAAATATGCTTTGGGGGAATTTTGCCAAAGACATTTTGAGAGAATGGAGGTACCTTTCCATATAATCTATCTTCAGAGATGAGGACGATTTAAAATAGTCAGTGACTATTTCGATAAATTCTTTCAAATACCTATTTCAAAATCATATCTAATTTAAGTAAATTTATTAAATGAACCATACACTATCTATTTAAAAATAAATTGAGTCAAATTGGTAGAGGGACAAGTGTGACTATCAGAGAAAAGCAACTAATAACCTGTAATCCTGTCTTTCCTTTTTTTACAAAGAGATTTCTACATATGGGAAGCATGACAAACTTCTTTATTCTTTGCTGTAGTTCTGTGATGTCACTATGTAATTGATCCCTGCTCCTGAGGAAGCCAATTAAAATGTGCCCATAATCAGGCATTGCCACCCTTTCCTGTAAAGCTGCAGATAAAAGACATTTTAGGCTTTGTGGGTTACAGTCACTATTCTATCTAGGTCAGTTTTTAATCTACTCAACAGTGCCACTGTAGAATGAAAACAACCACAGTCTACACATCAGTGAATAAGTATGGCTCTATTCCAGTATAACTTTATTTATGGACCCTTGAAATTTAAATTTCATATGATTTTCATGGGTTACAAAATATTCTTCTTTTTCTTTCAAATTTTCCCAACCATTTAAAAATACAAAACCCATTCTTAGCTCAAAGAACACAACAAAAGATGTGTTGAAATGGACTTGCTCCATGGTTGGTAGTTCACCAGCCCCTGATTTAAGGGGTAGGATTAGAATTTGAATCTAGATCTTCTACCACTGCCATAGATCTTTCCACTATACCATATGGATTTGTTTCAAAATTAAGAAGAGACCTGACTTGAAGACTTGAAATCTGGAGAGTTTTACCACTCTTCCTACTTTTGAAATTAAGTATAAGACTCAAACATATTAAGCTTCTACATCCACAGAAAAAGATAAAGTAATCACCAGCAACAGAGTAATTACCAAAGAGAGAGCCAATAGCAAGCCCAGCGAACACTTTATTGTCAGCTAGAGGGTTTGGCTAAAAGTAAATTTCATACTCATTAAAAAATGAACATTGCTTTAATGCCACTTCAGAGGCTGGTAAATGGTAGTTGGCTCTAAGCAATTCAGAAAACTACCCCATTGCATCCAGGCTGACATGCACTTGTACACAAATTCTTCAGAAGGCAGGAGAAAGGGGGAGAAGCCCCTAGTGGAAAGGTTAGGCATGCCCTGAAACTGTCCAGATTTGGAATTCTGCCCATACAAAGAGCAATCAGCAAAATCATGAGCAAAAGAGAGAGCATACATGAATCCTGCTGAAAAGAAATCATGTGGCTTCCTAAAGTACTACCCACAGAGGACAAGTTTGGAGAACTGCACTTGCCTATGAAAATAGTGATTAAAAACAAACTCCTATCAAGGTACATTTCATCATTTTTATACTTGTTTTCCTTTTCCTGTGCCATGATTTATTACCTCCCTTCTGAAGCATGAAGCTGAAATCTGTCTCCTTAAATCTCTCTTCCCTGAGTGATTTTGTTGGGAAAGAGTTGTTCATGAGAGCTTAGCAATTGCTGGTGTGCTGTGGAATAAAACTGTCAGTGTGATTTAAAAATACATATTGCAGAAAATAAGAAAAGACTTAAAAAAAAAAAAACCTTGTCATTTTGTCTTCTATGAAAAACAAAGGCAGTGACAGAAAGAGTCCAAAATAGTGAAAATAAAAAACGGTTTTGTAAAATTGTGAGGCTTTTGTAATCTCAAAATCATATCCATGTGCCATGAGAACTAACAGGACTCCAAGTGTCTCCGATCTAAAATAACAGGAGCTAACTGCCCAAGTGACAGATGACTTCAGAAAAGTGAATGTAAGTAGGTAAGGAATTTAGTATATGATGGAAAGAAATAAGTGATTAAGTACATACATGTA